GGGCGGGAAGTTCAGACGTGTGCTCTTCGGATCTGTGGGTGGTGTTGTGGGTTTGGGGGTGTGGGGTGTGGGGTGTGGGGTGTGGGTGTGAGGGAAGAGAAGAAACCTCTCACCTAGCCACACCCCACTCTCCCCAACTCGCAAAACCTAAGAAACTGAACAATGTCGCACACGAGAAAGGCAAGGCAATATTAGAGAAAACAGACTGTCGACACAATCTCACGTAGAAATGAGACGTAAGAATAGGTGAAGAGAAATGAATAAGAATCTATTTTATACGTTGACGATTGGCAAAAAACATTACATGTCTGTTGAATGTTTTTCAATTTTGTCTCTAGGCTCATCCGAGATATCCTTGAATTTCGTCTATCTCTTCATGTTTTTTTTACAAAAGAATGAATTGTAAAACTCAAAGCATAAACACTCCTACGATTAATAATTTGCTAGTTGGAAGAAAAAGCTTGCCATATCGTGATTCTTTTCTGTGAAATCGCAAGCGATAAGTAAATAGAAAAATATTTAATGAGTATGAAGAAGAGAAAGTATAGAAAAGAACAAAAAACATTAGAAAAAACGAAAAAATGTAAGAGTATGGGTGTGAGTGAAAAAAGACCCTCATGCACGGAAACACCCATACCCTCGGATGGTGTCTAGCATAAGGTGCATATTAGATCGGGATCTATCGATATCTTATTCATGTACTTGTATTTGCCTCGCACAGACATTCTGCTCCTATCATGTATTATCTAGAAAAACAGTTTAAAGAGTTGTTCTCCTGCTATCATCAAAAATATCCGAAATAGATTTTATCTGATAATGTTTCTGACAACTTAATCGAGGCAAGGGCTAGATTGAACGAACAAATTGTGTACGTAAAAATTTGACGGCGAAGCAAGCATGAGATATTGAAATTAAATAATCTCTATTGGTCTTCTTCAACTTCTGGCATGCCTAATGCATCACAGTGTTCTCATGTCAAGCACCCAAATGTACTGTGACCTAAGAGGGTGCGGAGGAGAGTGTGAATGTCGGTGTGGGTATGGGCGAAGACAAGTTTCAGACCCACATATATATTCCACACCTAGTGAGAATAGGGTCGATCCGCTCCCTTCCACCCCGACTCCTTTGTGACTGCACAGTGCGGAAGACTGCGATGGCTGATAGGATCCAATCTACATCACAATGGTGTTTGATTTCAAATGGCTGTGGGTAGACTTTTTACAGCTTTATTATTTTACTTACCTGTAATAAAAAAAATAATCGAGCGAATGTGTGTGGTAAGTTTTTATCGAGTGAATGAAAGAAACAAAACGTTCGAGAGTAAATATTGATGTTGCCTGTTTGCCAATAGTGACATGCAGAAAGCGACTTTGCAGTTCACAGTGTCGTGCAACTCTTCTGATGAATAACAATACATAGGTAGTAATTTCAAAACACTACGCCAGAGTTTCGTAATTCTGACGAAGGAACAATTTACCACTCAAAGGATCTATTTCAGTTACGGTTTAATATAAGCGATTTCTGTCGTGAAAGTTCGTGTTGTATCAGTGAGAGATTCATCTTCACATAAATGGACAAAAGCAACTCAATCCAAATACTGACTCAGTGTTTGTGCAAGCGATGCATTATAGCACGAACTGCGAGTCGAAATCCGTGGATAATACCAAGTAGAACCATATTCTTTTACAAAATAAGTCAGAAAACAATCTACTATGATTCCTCACTTTTTTCTGTATCGAACCAAAAATTCCGGGAGGTTCTTGCAAGTAGGCAAAAGTTCGTGCGTATTTCAGATATGGTTCGTTCTAATCAGTGTGAAAGATGTAGCGATTCATAAAAGACCGTAAATAAACTAGATAATGTAAGGGAAGTTAGCACCTGATTCGAGTTTTTCTCAGACCGATTCATCTACTAAATTGTGCCATGTCTGATTTCTCGTGTGCCAGATAGAGCTCGAGAAACTCTATCATGTTGTAAATTTGGAATTTCAGCTAAGGTGAAAACTAACGAAAGACAAAGCAAATTATAGTTTTGAACCATAGGGGAAAATAATAAAATCTAAAATTTCCTAAAACGATTCGAGCCAAGACCCGTGACACTTTTCAAATTTATATCATTCGACGCATCTCGACGTCCTGCATCTGATGGTATCAATAAAGTCCTAATAAAATCAATTCATGAGATGCACAAACTCCGGAAACCTTGAAAACCACCATATTATGATGTAATTCCTGTAACTATTCGTTCAATAACTTGCGCCACATTTGAAACTGATTCCATTCGATTCATGTTGACGAGCTCTATCGAATGATGTGTATTTCACCTTCACCGGGTAAAACTCCAGACTCAAAGTTCTTCAAAACCATAGGCATACGAGACAATAGAATATATTCATCACTTAGCAAAAAAATATTGTATCACATTAAAAAGTACCCATTTTTCAATGAACCTGAATTCATTCGAACGATCGATGTGAAATTTACTGTAGCAATCAACACTTTAGAGATCCTGGATCTCTAAAATCTCTTTCACTATTCTCACCTACATACTATCTCAACGACATATTCATTCTACAGTGTGTGCCAATCATGACATACATATCATTCAATGTGTCTCGATTAGTTCTATCGATTGATATATAATTTGTGTAAATATTTATATTTCACATGTGATGGGATCCCCAAAGGGTGTGGGTGTTGGTGTGGGTGTGGGTGTGGGTGTGGGTGTGGGTGTAGGGTGTGGGTGTGGG